TTTTAGTAACGGTTAATCTCAAGCCGAATGGTTACATTGTGCTACTTGCAAGCCCTGCTACCTTATCGGACCTATGAATGGTGAGTTATAATACAAAATAAGATCTCCTCCTCCCACTCCTCTTCTGCGGCTTTTGACCCATTTATTTTCAATTTGTTCCAGTTGTTAAGGAGAACTATAACATGACATGTGTCTGCATAAACGTGCAAAGATGCATATCAACATCAAAATAAAAAGCTTGAGGCTCCTCGAATGTTGCTAAAATTTCTGTTGAGTGAAAGATGTAAATATTGAATCCGCGATCAAAATTAGATTTCAGAAGAAACGTCATTGAGAAAGCCACTAAGCTGCACGTATGGAAATAATGTGAAGAGTACATTGAAAGATACTTGGGCCTCATTTTTGCAAAATAAGCAAACTGAAATTTTGTATAGCAAACTTAAACCGCAAGTATCAACGCGTATTAAGTGACTGCTCTGCATTTTTCTTGAGTGTTATACTTCCTTTTTTTTCAAGAGACTTGTTACAATGCGATAAGCAAAACAATTGTTTTCCTTCCTTCAAATGTGGTATAGGTTTGACTTTCTCACCAGCGTGAACAAAATAAAGTCGACTACGTTAACACTGCAAAGTTTGTTGGAGTGTGCATTTTAAAAGGCGGCAAAACTCGTAATCGTTGTATGCGAATTTATGTATTTTATGTAAGAATACAAGAGTTATAGTTGCATATGCTTATTGTTTATCCAGCAAAACCAAGCTTGACGTAACTGCAATGAAACACTTTAGAATCATTTTCCAATGGGAAACATTGGCCTGCTATCGGGTCATATCGTTGCGTAGCGCTTATTAGCGGCCCGTAACAGCCTTTTTTCAGTGGGTCACGATAGAATATCGAAGATTTCGATTTAGAAAATGTATTATGCAAGTTATGATAGTCTTTGTGTAGCGGGTTTCACTGACGTAATGCATTCAGATAATTTGACAGACTAACACTTCTAAAGAAAATCTATCTGGAAAAACTGCTTCTTTCTTCTGTTTATTTCCAAATATGTGAAGATGGCTTCCTATGAATAGCATATTGTATGAAGCATATCATCTCTGATATCAGAGTGGGCGTTACTGCGTTAGAACGCAATGTGATTGGCGCATGTGAGTAGGATTTGTTACTGCTCAAAAAATCCTCTTAGTGTCTTCTTAAATTGATGTTTATGTTTCGGTGCGTCAAAAAAATAGTCTGGTAGGATAACCTCCCAAAAAGCAGATATCAGGAGAAGAGCTTGCATAAAAGGTGGTTAACAACGCAGTCAGCATCTTGTCTTCGCGGACAGACAAGCTAGCTATGGTAAGATTATCATTTCGATATTTCTTATTTCTTTATTTATATTTCTTTTACCTACACTGTTCGAAATCATTCCCCTTTCTTAAAGCATCTTATAAGCTGGCTAATGTGCGAGGCTAGATGTTCCAGCCTAACATGTATGTAAGCTCTATGAACATAAGATAATTTCAGATCGCCATAATCCTTGCACTGTTGACAATATCGCCAGCCAATGCTTTCAAAGTCGTCTCAATTGGTAAGTAGAACTGTTTCACTACTCTACCACTGTATTGTTAAACTTCGTTCAATGCAACAAAGTGACAAGTGAGCCGATTGCCAAAGGGCAATGGGATACCTGTACGATTAAGAAATGCCAATGAGGTTAATGACATGATTTGAGCTTCTTTTCAGAGGAATTCAAAGCACGCCCGATTCCTGAGTTTGCCAAACACTTAGAGGGGCAGGAACTGGTTGACTATATCAACGCGAATCAGCCCTTCTACAAGGTATCAGCCGAGATGCTGGTCTTTGATTTAGAACCAAACGCTACTTCTTACAGGCAGGCTTGCCTAAATTATCTTACAAGCAATTTAAATCACGCTTGATGAAATCGGAACCCTTCGTTGATGAAAGCTTACGAGCTCCAGAAATTTATTCGTATGAAGAAATTCCAGAAAGGTACATTTCACTGTCAAGCGACTGCTAACAGAGTTTACTTAGAACTAGCAGCTAATGCACCACATATAGGCAAACACTATTGAAAAAAATTTACAATTTCTGAAAATTTGCTTTGAAATTTAGTTTTGATGCGCGAGAGAAGTGGCCGGAGTGCACATCCATCTACACCATCCGTGACCAAGCAAACTGCGGTAACGAACTGCTTACACTTGAACATCAGTTTTTGCTTGAGCAAAGCATGCTCTCTTATAGGATCATGTTGGGCTGTCTCTGCGGCATCAGCTATGTCTGATAGGTTGTGCATCGCCACGAGAGGAATGAATCAGGTTTAGATCACTTACGTTGAATAATGCTAGTTGGTGTAACTTGAATTATTATAGACTCTTATT